TACCTAAAATCCTCCCTAGGTCAGGCCCGCTTGCTGGAAAAACCATGTCTTGAGGGCGCGGCGGAAAGTAAGGAGATCCGGAATCATCCGGATCTCGGGGGGTAGTTCATTCCAGAGGGTGGGGGCACCCACAGAGAAGGCCCTCCCCCTGGGGGTCGCCAGCCTACATTGCTTGGCCGACGGCACCCTGAGGAGACCCGCTCTGTGGGAGCGTACCGGTCTATGGGAGGGAATCTGTGGCAGAAGGCGGTCTCGGAGGTAGCCAGGTCCGATGCCATGGATCGCTTTAAAGGTGGTAACTACCAGCATTTATCAGCAAAGACGTACTTGTTATCCTCAGACTTTTCTAAGCCATTTTGAACATCTGACATCTCCTTTTCCATATAGGGCTCTAATCTTCATTAGATTATCTTGAGCTTTTTTTTAACTAGCATACAAAATAAGGATATTGTATAATAGTATAGAGCAGCGGTTCTCAACCTATGGGTCGCGATCCCATTTGGGGTCAATCGACCATTTCACGGGGGTCGCCAAGCAAGGCTGTCCGCCATTTTTTCCCCCTTTTCCGGCGGGTGCCTTATCTCCCTTGAGCTGGGCCAGCTGGTGGTCGGCCTGCTCCGTCTCTGCCACTTGCCAGCTACGCCTCGGCCGGCGCAGGGGACGGAACCACGCATGCGCAGCGCTCCCAGGCAGGGAAAGTCCTTGACTTACGACTGGTTTAGTCCTCGACGTACAACCGGTTTAGTCCTCGACTTACGACCGGTTGGGGTCGCGGCATTAAAAAGGTTGAGAACCACTGGTATAGAGTCATGGTGCTGCAGTGTTTAGAATGCAGTATTGCAGGGTACTTCTGCTGGCTGCCAGCTGCCAGCAGTTTGGCAGTTCGATTCTCACTGGCTCAAGGTTGACTCAGCCTTCCATCCTTCCCAGGTTGGTAAAATGAGATCCAGATTGTTAGGAGCAATATGCTGACTCTGTAAACCGCTTAGAGAGCACTGTAAAGCACTATGAAGCGGTATATAAATCTAAGCACTATTGCTATTACCCTTCAGACAGGAAGACAGTGCAGAGAGTGGTGAGGATGGCAGAAAAGATTATTGGTAGCTCACTTCCTTCTATCCAGGACATAGCATATAAACGATGCTTGAGCAGGGTCTACAAGATTGTCCGGGACACTATACATCCTCTTCACAATCTGTTCTCTTTGTTACCTTCTGGGATGTGGCTTCGTAGTATCTGAAGCAGAACATCTAGATTCAATCACAGTTTCTTTTCAGATTTGATGCCTTAGTTTGGTTAGAACCTTTACTAATTCATATCCTATTGTTTGCTATATTTCTATAGATATTCCATTAATTGCTACAGTTTTCCATTAGTGACTTTTAGCATGTCCATTCAATGTTGAAAACTCCTTCTGTGTTGGGAGATCTTTTGGAAGTGCATCCTTGCTTTTCTGTGTCAACTTGATGTAAGCCACTCAGTCACCTGAACTGCGAGATAGACAAATAAATTTGATAGATTAAACAGATCCATAGATCAATAGAGATAGAACACTTTTATTTTCTTTATTTGTTTACAGACGTTGTTTTAATACTGTTTCTTGTCTCTTCTACCTGGTCTCTAAAATTCTTTGTTAAGTTCTTCCACCATTTGTTTTGACATACAGTTTGCTTTCTTCTGCTTCTTGGTGTTTTGTTGCTCTTCACACTTATCCTTAACAACTTTTTTATTTCATTCCACACTTCCTTTGGTTTCCTAGCAATGAAGTTCAGGACTTCAAAGCAACTTAAGTTCTCCTTGAAAATGCTGGGTATATGATCAATATCATAGTGTGGAAATGGGCTGGTTTTACTGTTTTACTTTAGCTAGATTTGGAACCTGCACAAAAACAGTTTATGATATAGTCAATTTGATTTATGCGTATTCTGGTGAGGTAGGCATCATTTCAATCACCATTGGAAAACAGAAAAGAATGAATTTCTCCTGCTTCTTTTCTGTTTCCTAGGCCATACAGTCCAACTACATTTTCCTTCCTAACATTTCCAACTTTGGCATTCCAGTTTCCAACCATAAGCAACACATGTTCTGTTGATTTCAGATTGCCCTTGACCATAAACTTAATCAACCTTCTTTTCTTCTGTACCAGTGGTAGATAATTATGATATGAAAAGGTTGTCTGCAAAATCTAATTGATGCTATCTGATAATTGAATGTACTGTGCCTAAGCGTTGTCTCTGTTATATCTTTCTTAATATGAAAGCAACACAATTTCTTTTTTGTTTTTCATGTCCTGACCACTAAACAGTATGGTCTTCCTGATTCCCACTACAAATGTTTCTTTGCAGGTTTCGATTTTCTTTTCCTGCATGGTAATATCATCAACTAGACACCCAGAAGGTTTTCTTCTAGCCACATCCGAAACACCTCTAGTACTCTGAAAGATCCTCCGTAATTCCTCGGAAGCATGTTGAGTCTGAGAGACCCAGCATCTAGCACTATATCACCAATCACTTTAACTTGTCTGTGTGGTTTTTAAAAAATACAGGTGTGGCTTACCATCTGCCTTCTCTCACATAATATGAAATGATGCCTTTGCTGTTGTCACCAAAGTAATAATCCAATCCCAGCATTTTCTTATATTGTTGCTGCTTGATATAGGTGTCAACTCTACAACGAACCTGGCTGAAGCCATCTTGCTTGTTCTAAGTTGCCATAAGAATGGGAGGGGGGAAGTGGAGGTTTTCTAATAATATAAGCAATTCTCTGTCCCATCGGAACCAAGGTCATTTCAAACAGTCGAATTAGGGAGTTGGGTGTACTATTAGAAAGCTTGCTTAACTATTCTATTGGGAAACGTAATTGATTGAATAGTTTTGGTATGGGAAGTTTAACTTTATAATAGTGTAACTCTTTGGAAGGAATTTCAGACTTGGTTTCACTTTTGATTGTGCCGATACTTTGTAACCAATAAACATGTACTTTGAGGACGCCTCTAGCCTCAGAGTTCTGATTTACTTGGTCTCATCTATCAGAACCATGGCAATAGGTTCCTGTCTGTTTAGCTGGACAACTCAAATAACATTCACACCTTGAGGACCTACTAGGTGTGTATTCTCTTGGTGTAATCTTTTAAAATTTAGCACAGCAAGATGTGAAGGTATATGATTGTTTAACTACTATTAAATATGATAATATTTAATGAACTGGAATGAACTACCCCCAGAGATCAGGGTGATCCCTGATCTCCCTTCCTTCCGCCGCGCCCTTAAGACATGGCTATTTCAGCTTGCAGGACTGGCCTAGGGGAAATTTTTAGCGGGGGTTTTAAAATAATTTTAAATTACTTAGGCCAATTGTTAATATTTGTCTTTTAATTATGTTTTTAACTGTAGTATTTCGTAT